TAAAACTGAGAAAAATATTTTTCCAGGTGTATTAATGAATGGAAAACATCGTCAGAATTCACTTGAGTCAGGCATCTCGCACTGCTATAATAAGTTAGACGGGAAAAGCTTGGTTCTATATAATTCCAAAACGCTATAAGTAAAGTAAAGTTTCATAATCTAGAAAAACCCAGTGTATATACTAAGTGAATATCATCTGGGTTTTACAAAACGCGTTCCAGACCAAACGTGAAAACTTACTCCTCCTTCCTAGCTTTAGGAAGTTATTTTTTAAGGATTTCCACTTCTAAACGTTTCGCTTCAACAAATTGTTCGATCGCTGGAAGACCTTTAAATTAACAGCTTGTACTTTAGCGCTCAATGACGATTCTTCTGACCTTTTTTTTTCTCATGGGATACTTTTCCTTATGTCCCCGTTATTCTTTAATATTTGACTTGGCTGAAGACCAAGCAGAAACAGTAAGGGATGCCTCCTGTTTTTAAGTCGACCTTTCTATGTTCGGCGAGACTAATTACGCGGGATGACGTAGTCAGCCAGCGTCTAAAATTCGGTAGCGCATTCCTTTCGTCGTCTTGGGAGTCAAAAATTGCCCTGTTTTTTTAACTTTCCCGTATCCCGTGCCCGTCCCGAAGAATTGTGTGGACTTTTATTGGCCCCAACGTCGAAGCACGTGCAAGTCAGGCTGGATTGCACAAGCCGATAAAACATACTGCGTAAGCAAAGGAGGGAAAAGTAAGCTCACTGTGTAGAGGAGGACGAAGATTCAAGGCCGTGCTCTTAATACGGCGCAAGACTTGGCCTCGGGCGACTGAAAATATTGTCTAGGTGGCCCATCCGGGCGACTTGCTGGTGTTGGTTTCTTGTTTCTGTTGAGTTACGCTCAAAAAGCTAAGAATGTCTAGAATTTATTATTTAGTTCTCTCGGTGGCTTCGCGGCCTAAAAAGAACGCTCCTCTCGCTAAGAAACTCTTGAGGTCGACTCTGTAAGTAGCAATAAGTAGCATGTCTACCAAAAAGCTTTAGGAAAATGTTGTTAAATCGGGCAGCGGACACGCGTTGATGTTCAAAGGTCGTTTCACGTGAATTCACATGTAACATAATCCTTGACTATGAACGTGACAAGCTGCACAGTCTTCGATAGTAACAGCTTTTCATACTAACATTGAAATTTTTTCTTCAAATTAGGATTGTTCATTAGTTAGTTTTTTTAAACAAGTTGTTACTTTTGCTCTGACAGGCGTGAAGTACGGTCGGCGACGCAAAACAATAGTTTTGAATTTTGAAAAATCGCTGAATAAACAAGGGAGTCGGTCTTCTATGTTCTTTAAATATTTCTACCTTTTTTGACTGCTGTGTCTGCGAGGATAAAACATAACTAAGATTGTTATTCCAGTAAAATACGATGCATAAAAAAGAAAAGAGACGACTATTATAATTGTGATTGTTCTAGAATCGGGTATAAAGGGGGTGTAAATCTATAAAATCCCGCATTGTCTTTCGTGTCGTGACAAGGCATACGTATCACGTACTAAAAATAAATACGCAAAAGCTAACCGAATCTACATTTGTCCTGAACATTTCACCGGTAATATAGAAAGAAAATTCTTCTGTTTTGCGCTTAAACGACGACTTTACAACAAGATGATCTATTCAAAAGAGATAATAGTTTTGGGGCGGCCCCCGGTGGGGGGGGGGGGCACTTCCTTATAACGAGGCTAATGGGGATGTGCCGCTGGATGGGGTCGCATTTTCACGACTAGATTGAATATTAATGGAGTTCCATTTTCAAAAGAGTTACTAGAATGGGGTCGCACATTTTCGGATTTTTGGGGTAAGAGAGCTGTTCATATTTACGGTTAGCAAACCTATCAGGATATTTGTACTGTAGGTGAAAAGTAAAGCGTTCTTCATTCAATTTATTAAAAAAATAGGTCAATTCATTTTTTGATGACCTATTTAAAGGATTGATAAGGTAGATACATGAATAGAAAGTGACTAACTTGGGATCGCAAAAATTACATATTTCCCCAACAGTGACTAATATGGGGTCTACAATATTGGCCACAGAAAAGACTATAATGGGGTAGGGGTTCTGAGAGGCCAGCGGCACATACCCAACAAAAATTAACGCAAGTAATCCCCCCGGGGGGCGCCGCGGTTTCGTTGAAATCATAGCAGTTTTCCTGGAAAGCTCCACGGGATCTCATTCAATCTTAACAAGCGAATTTTCTTTTCAACCTAAATCAAAATGATTAGTAAAAAGAATAGTGCCCTTATTTTTGACCCCAAATTTATTTTTCCATTTAAAACACATGAAATGTTCGGCGGCGTTGTCAATGTTTCTCATATGGCGCGAAAACTTACTTTCATATGGCAAAATGCGGGTTTTTTTTTTTTTTCGCACGCTCAGGAGGTCTAAGGGATGTGATTTTTTATGAAAAAAATATTCACAAAATTCTGCTTGACTTGTTAAGAAAATAATTTGTTTAATGTTTAATAATTAACTAACAGCTCATTGATTTATTAATTCGGTCGACCAACTTAGAGGCCCGGGTACCCCAGCTAAAAATGCTTGGGGAGCCTAAAGGGCTCTCTGAAATTTTCCCTAGAGCACTTCCTTGCAGCCCTGTAGTTATTGGAAGTATGATACATTACACGCTATAGAGTGTTTTCACTCACGTGACTTGGTTTCCTAGCAACCTTACTATCCGCCATGTTGGTGTCCCAAGAAAGAAAGCGTGAGCTGGTCACTTATTGTATTTATCGATTTAAACTGTGAAAGATCAATCTTATATGGGTTTCTATTACCATGCTTCTGTGTATTATTGTTGGCTGTGGCAACAAGAGTGGAAAAAGTTCACAAAAAAAGGATTCTGCAGTGAAATTTAGTCGCCTTCCGAAAATCGTTTGAAGGCGAAATGATGGAGCAGTTGACCACCAGAAGAAGACGTGCATGGATTTCTGCCATAAGTCGCAGTGACCTTACGGACGATAAGCTTGAACATGAGAGGGTTTGTTATAGGCATTTTGTGTCCGGCCGAACCGCCAAACAGTGCGAACAATTTGATGTTGACTGGGTTCCAACATCACATCTCGGCCACACGAAGAGACCGCAGCGTGTTCTGTTAAAAGTTTTAATGTAAAATAGGACGCTAGCAATGTGGGAGCAGGTTTCCCCTTGCCCAGCCATACATCCCCGGCAATGTGCACATAAAATCATTTCGTCATTCTCGGTGATGATCCACAGAGGAACAGTTGGATCGTTCATCTTTTGAGAGTGGCGAACCTTTAAAGCTCGTGTCCAGATACCCGGTAGCCGGGAAATGTTTTCAAAAAACTAGATACCCGGCAGTCAGAAATTTTGACCAATTTCCTCGAAATAGCTCGTTTAATTCCTCTAAGAACGTAAGATATTTGTTTAGAAATCTCAAGCGATTATAAATATTGCCTTGGGTTAAAGGTAAAAGCAACTGTCGAGCTTGGGCATAGAGTGAAATCTCAATGGAATTCGACACTTAGAAAATATTCAAGTTCTGACACACTAAGTCAACTCCCGATGAATATCCACAGAAATTATCAACGAAGCCTCACCAGAGTATTTAGTGTTTGTTCAGAAATGCCAAGCGATTCTAAATAAAGGTTTCGTGTTGTTGTGGACAAATTCTCCGCGCTTGCATAAAGCATATTCTTTAGAATCTTGACTCACGGGTACGGTTTTCAAAATACTAGATGCCCGGTAGTCGGAAATTCATGTCCAATTTACACGAAACATCTCATTGAATTTGTGTAAAAAGATCAGAAAGTTGTTTAGAAAACTCAAGCGATTTCAAATACTGCTTTGGGCTTGAAGTAGAGGCAACCGTCGAGCCTTCTTGACCTATTTTTGCCGTTCTCCTTGCCATCGCCGGATCGTGAAGTCCCTTGCATTTGCGTCACGCAATTGTAGTGTTACACCGGAAGTTGAAGGGCACTCGACAAATTTCACGTTGTTTGTAACTCAGAGGATATACTCGGGAGGATATCTGTTAAGACTACAGACTCAGCAGATGCCGAGAAAGAGTTTCGTGAAAGTACAGTGAGAATTTCCGACTGCCGGGCATCTAGTATCTTGAAAACAGTTCCCGGCTGACATGCTTACCGGCAATGATAAGTCCGTGGACACTTTGTACAAATCCAGAGACCAACTGGTTATATGCTTGAAGGCTTATAAAGGCCTTAAATTGTTCCTTAGTGTAGTGACTGGTTTCAAGAACAAGATACGAAACGAGGTCAATCGACTCGGTGGGAGGAAGACAATCGGCATCGTATTTTTGGCATGAAATTAGAAAAGGATCGACTCCTATACACGCTATTTTCTGCATGTACCTTTTCTTAACAAGAGGATCAAGTGTATTTGCATATTCAGACAATTGGGGAGCGTCATCTTGCTCCTTAGAAATCTTTTATAATGTAAATGACCGTAGATCCAAGAGACTTTATAAGCCGCGAAGGGACACCAACATGGCGGCGGGAGTTTTCGCGGGAATAATTTTGAACTTTGTGACGTCACGTGAAAACACTCTATTGTTAAATGTGGAAGTGCATTTTTTGAGGACATTAGTAAAAGAATGCAAATTTTAGTGAACTACCCCATACTCCTAACATATATGGTGGTAATATTGATGTAAGTTTTGTTTTGAGTAGCAAAGGAACCCTTGTGTGTAACTCATCTTCTAGTGTATTAGTCCTTAACAGAACATCTCCGTCTCTCCTGCACACATTTGTTGCATACACTACTCAACTTCCATTTCCACCCAACATACCCGTAATTCTTTCTTAAACCCACACATCCCGCGTAAGCGCCTTCGGGCGTCTTCTTGTTCTGTAATCGTTTGGTACGAAATGCTCTGAACAACAACATTCCTTTTTCCCATCTTCTACTTGATTCAGGATCTGATGAAACTTTTTTGGTATAGGTGAGATCCGGCCGATTTTCACTTCGATTATTTTATGTGGGTGCAGCACTTGTCTTATTTTGCTTACAAGAATCTAGTTGTTACGTCGCCATTTTGAGTATGAGGGCACTTAGGCCTCGCTTTCATGCAACTTCCGGTTTTTTCCTGAATCGGCGTGTTGCTGAGAAACTATGTGGTCATTACAAAAGTAAGACCAGGCTGCGGGATATTTTAACTCCTACAGTTACGCAAAACTTTGTTCTTCAAAAGGTGTCAACTAACTTTGTTTTGAAGGAACTGTCTAAACTCAAGGTGACAAGCCCCGGGTCCTGATCATGGTATCTCTGCAAGACTTTTGAAGGATGCAGCTCCAGTTATAGCTAAACCGATCACGTATCTGGTTAACCTTCCTATTTCAACAGGACTTATTCCAGTTGAGTGGAAGGATGCAAGAGTAACACCTATTTAAATCAGGAGCAAGGAACGATGTCAGTAATTACCGACCAATCTCAGTTCTTCCCCTGGTGTCAAAGATTATGGAGCGCGCTATTCAAGTTCAATTCTTGGCTTTTTTGACTTATTATTGCCATTTATACAAGGAAAAATAAGACGCGTCTTACATAAGACGCGAACTGTACCATTTATACGAGCATGTCTTATCTAATAAGACGCGTCTTAGCTAAGCCGCGTCCTATTTTAGACGAAATGTGCCGTTTATTACGGAAAGTTCGCGTCTTATTTAAGACGCTTCTTATGTAAGACGCGTCTTATTTTTCCTCGTATAAATGGCCCTGTTGTCAGACTTCCAATCAGGTTTTCGAAAGAAGCACTCTAATGAAACTGCGGTAGTTTACCTCACTGATTATTGGAGCGGACTGTTTATTGACTTGAAAAAAGCTTTCCACTTGGTCGACCATGAATGTTTTCTTTTTAAGCTAGAACACTGCGGAGTCAGAGGGAGTAGTCTGGACTGGTTCCGGAACATATCTTAGTTTATCAAACTCTCACTGAATTCGCGAAACCCCCGATAACTGAAAAAAAACCTGACTTCCCTTTCCCAGGCAAATAGTGGAATTCTATCTCGGTTTTTTTCGAACCTCCAAATTACTACAATATCCGCTGTGCTTACCTGCAACACCATGTACAAGTACTCCTTTCTTCCTTAACTTCAAGGCACGTCTTACTGCGTCAACAGTTAAAGGATTACGAATCACACTCAGTTCCCTCAGCTCCCTGAGGTCACTAATCTCAGCAGGTAATTCAGTTAGTTTATTTCCACTCAAGTACAGCCGTTCAAGCTTGGTCAGCCTCTGTATACTAGTAGGTAAACCAACCAACTGGTTGTCACTAATACTCAGCTCCCTCAGCTCTCTGAAGTCACTAATCTCAGCGGGTAGTTCAGTTAGTTTATTTCCATTCAAGTACAACCTTTCAAGCTTGGTCAGCCTGGTCAGCCTCTGTATACTGGTAGGTAAACCAACCAACTGGTTGTAACTCACCCACAGCTCCCTCAGCTCCCTGAGGTCACTAATCTCAGCAGGTAGTTCAGTTAGTTTATTTCCATACAAGTCCAGCTTTTCAAGCTTGGTCAGCCTCTGTATACTGGTAGGTAAACCAACCAACTGGTTATTACTAATACTCAGCTCCCTCAGCTCCCTAAGGTCACCAATCTCAGCAGGTAGTTCAGTTAGTTTATTTCCAGTCAAGTACAGCCCTTCAAGCTTGGTCAGCCTCTGTATACTGGTAGGTAAATCAATCAAATGGTTGTTGCTCATCAACAGCCACCTCAGCTCCCTGAGGTCACCAATCTCAGCAGGTAATTCAGTTAGTTTATTTCCATACAAGTCCAGCTTTTCAAGCTTGGTCAGCCTCTGTATACTGGTAGGTAAACCAACCAACTGGTTGTTACTCACCTGCAGCACCTTCAGCTCCCTGAGGTCACCAGTCTCAGCAGGTAGTTTAGTTAGTTCATTTCCATACAAGTCCAGCCTTTCAAGCTTGGTCAGCCTCTGTATACTGGTAGGTAAAACAACCAACTGGTTGTTATTCACACTCAGCTCCCTCAGCTCCCTGAGGTCACCAATCTCAGCAGGTAGTTGAGTGATTTTGTTGTTATCCAATTTGAGCACAATAAGATTTTTCAGCTTGCTGATACTTGCTGGTAATTCAAACAGGTTATTTTCATCCAGCACAAGTTTCTCTGTTTCACTCAGTTCAGTGACTGCATCAGGTACCCTGAAGAGTCTTTTTCCATTCAGACCCAAAACTGCTAATCCATCTTCATATTTTAAGTAAGCTCTCAATTTTGTATTGGAATAATGCTCCATGTTTCAAATTGTTAATAAAAAGTCTCGACAGTTCTTCTTACCATCTAGAAATAACAACATAATAGTAACCAGCAGTATAGAAAAATGAAAATCATATCATCAATATAGGTAAATTTTAAAGAATTAAAATAAATGAAATCTAGAACAGATGCTGTTAGTGTATTCAAAAAATGTTTTAGTAGTAGACTAGGGTATCTGATAATGTCATTAGTTAGGCCGTGATCCATCTCCTTGCATGTGACTTAAAAGAATCGAAAATGACAATAAACTTTCACGTTTTCTTGCTGTATAAAGCTCAAGGGTTTCTTTTCTGCTTTTAAGTAGCTACCATTTTCTTCCAAGTGTCTCCTCTTGCTCATATCAATTCAGTCTGAACTGTTGTTGATGACCACAAAAAAGATTGAGTCAGGTCATCTTAGCGAGGTAGTCACTTATTGAATCCAACAACAGTGGGTTCCTTCCTAGATGATTGAGATCCCAACACATCTACATTTTGGAACAGAATTCATCGCATGCAATTTCTAATCTGCAATATGTGTATAGTTTCACGGTGTCACTAAAACATTTTCACATGCTTTAAGGAGTGTACTACATACAACAAACAACAAAAAAAATAGCTGACCATGATACAAGGAAAACAAATTATGCCAATATTGTGTACTGCTCAGACTGTTTGGAATAAAGGCCTTAAGAAACACTGATTCCCAATTGTGGCTACATATGGGATGTGTATTATTGGTAGGTGAACATGTTTGTGATCAGGTACATGTAAAATAATAATAATAATGTTATATAGCATCATAAGGTGACAAATGATTGATTTCTGCAGATCTGGAAATAATCCCAGGAGGGGGCAGTTAATTGATTTTCAGTGGCAGGCAATGGGGATGCCTATTTGTCGGAAACACTTATTTCAGGGGGAAACACTTATTTGAAGGGCCCCGTCACTTATTTCATTTTTTAGTATTTCAGCCTCAAGATAGCATTTTGTCTTTGTTTCACACAGACAAAAAAAACTAAGCAATGAAACTACAACATATTTTTCAATAAATACTCAAGTGTGTCATGATCATGTACTTAGCTTGGAACTTTCCATTAAAACTATCCTTAAGTACTATATTCAAAGGAGCTGAGTCATCTGATAGTGTGATGTCCCCAAATAAGTTATCCTCTTGTGACTGTAACTTTTATGCTACCCTTTTGAAAGATAAAGTCCAGTATACCATGTATTTAGTAAGGCAGGGTGTTAAAGGTGGTCATTTATATGAAGGGGAGGGCCGGAAGCTTAAACGAACACTATCCCATTACTGCGCATGTACCAAAAAATCCACATAGTGTTATAGAACCTTCCAAAATCTTTGCACCATGCTCGATTGAGTTACACCACTAAACCTTCTCAAAACTACAGATCAATGTTCCTATTAACTTTTGATTTTAGTGAAATTAGGAGTTTTTAACGTTGCTTAAATTTAAATACAACAAAGAAACGGATGAGACATGGATGCCACTGAAAAGATCTTGCAACGACATGTTTAACTTAGTAAAATTAAAAAACCTGCTTAACAAATATGACCAACTAAATTAACCAAACAGATGGCCCTTGATGTATAGAAAAACAAGTGCAATGAAATCATAATAAATTATTATGTTTGAGTAACTTTTGCGATGCCTTCATCATGTAAAGATATGAAAGACTTTGTCAAAAGTGTAAAATATTATTTGAGATATGTAAACAAAGAAACTCTGGCGGAGATGAATTTGCAAGAAAATCTTAGTGCATCTTAGTGTGACAGTTCTGTTGTTGTTTCAAGAAAAAACACATGATGTTTGCACATGCATATAATCATGATAGTGTCCCTTTAGTATTTATTTTAATATTTGAAGCCTAAAAGAGTGGTACTAATTTGAATGGGGTGCCTATTTGAGGGGCGGAGGTTGGAGAGGGGGGTTAATTTGAGCATTAATAGGGTAATTAGGTCCTTGGGGCTGTGTACCTTAAGCAATGCATTGATGACTTGATTATTGTTTTTATTGCCCAACTTTAGTGTCTCAGGAATTCCCTTTTGCTGTAGTAAATTCTTGAGACCAGGGAGGTCCAGGGATTCTTTCATGTGTTGTTGGAAGCCCATTTGATTTTTGCTCTTATATTCCACTGACCTTAAACCTCGGGTACCCCCCCTGGTGCAATAAGATCATTACACCCTGAAGCCTAGCTCTTTCTCCTGATTAAGGCATTCTCGGAGACCCAGGGGCGGTCAGTCGGGCTGGGAGAAAAAGTGCGACAAAAGTTTTCAAGCACCACAGACGGCCCAAACTCACGTTGCGAGGGAAAGGTGTACATAATGTCATTAACATAACATAGGTGACGCGCCGGTGACGCGTTACAGGCGACCATTGAAAATATAAGAGACTTTGTATGAGAAATATATTACCGAGATCTACGCACGCTAAATAACGCTAAACCTTACTTTTTCTTAAATGAATTGAATCGGATGGAAAAAAGATCATAATTTCCCCATTAAATCGAGCCATCTGTGCCAGACTTCGAGGCACGTCTGGCTTTCGTCCAGTACCTGTGACCACTGTTGCGCCTACCAACTAATTTGCATTATGACAATTAGCACTGACACGACGGGTGCAAGCACTCGCTTTTTCACAGTGCCAGAGCCTAGTTGACGTGTCATTTCCGCCCTGTCACCCGTCGTGTAAGTGCTATTTGTCATAATGCAAATTAGTTGGTTGGCGCAACAGTGGTCACAGGTACTGGACGAAAGCCAGACGTGCCTCGAAGTCCGGCACAAATGGCTTGATTTAATGGGGAAATTATAGATCTTTTTTCAAGCGGATCTCCCAGAGAGGAAGAAGAGGTTTCCCTCTTAGGCCGGAGCTGAAAAATGTGCAGCGGATTTGAATTTCGGCGAAAAAAACGGCATTCTTGTTGCGACTGGTCCAGGAGCCCGACAGATCGAAGTGACCAGCCTTCACTTCGTTCTATGAAAGGAGTAACAGTGGTTACCCAATAAAGCCAAAAAACAGTAAAACGACAAACAGACACCAAAACGCAGTGTTATACATTGCAGGTAAGTCTTTTTTATTCAATTCATTTAAGAAAAAGTAAGGTTTAGCGTTATTTAGCGTGCGTAGATCTCAGTAATATATTTCTCATACAAAGTCTCTTATATTTTCAATAGTCGCCTGTAACGCGACACCGGCGCGTCACCTATGTTATGTAAATGACATTATGTACACCCTTCCCTCGCAACGTGAGTTTGGGTACTGACTCTCACCAGACCATTTCCAAATGGTCAAACGAGTGCTGGCTCCTGATTGGGTACAAAAAATGCTTTGTATTATTGTGCCCAATCGGTGAACAGCATCTCCTCAGTTCTTGTCGTGAGTTTGTACACGACGGCTACTGACTTGATCATGGCTTTTCTGGCTCATGCACCAAAGAAATGCAGGCAGTCAGGAAACTTTCAGTTTGATACAAACTCTCCATTTCAAAATACTGTCTACCCAAAAACTAAAGACGCTTTTCCAAAAATACAAGCTTGAGCTTGAAAAGTGAATTCACATTTTTTCAGTCTCTATCGTGATTATTCCAACTCGCTTACTTTGTCAAGTGCAAGCGAACTCTTCTGGAGCTGAATTTCTATCAACCATATCGAAGTTCATAAAGAGAAGAAAATTTTGTCATTGCTTGCTTACGTTCTTCACAAAACGTGAAATTAGGCATTTTCACGTGGTAGTAGTGCAGTGACAGCAAAGAAATGTACAAAAAAGGGTGATGGAGGATACACATGCAAAATTGTTGTTTTGTCTTGTCAAGCTATTGCAATTTTTACTTTCTCGTTGCCGCTGCATCTTAAACCTCCTATTATTTATGATACATTGTGATCCGTCAGAAACAGAATTTTCTCAGTGCAAATTGAATTGCTCCTGCTGATAGCACCCAGTTTTCCGACTCATTGGTAGCATCTTCATTTCTGGTAAGGAAAGCTTGGTGAACAAACCGGGCAGCTGTGGCGAGAAAATGGCCGTCGTGTCACAAAAAGATCTCAGGAGAAACTATTCGCCGATTGGGCACAATAATACAAAGC